TTCTGTACAAGTAAAGTTCCATTTAATGTTTGTGTTTTGTGGTTCTTTATACGATATATTAGGGATGAGGTACGTGTGCAGTCTGGTTTATATAATGTTTTACCATTCAAGCTTGACATGTGTGTTGTCTTTGACCTTAAAAGTCCATTTTCAGCCCTTGGCTTTTCTGCAAACTGGTAGTTTTCTGAGAGTCTATGGTTGATTATTATACACAGACTTTATTTCTTCTTTAGCTGCCTTTGTCTATTTAGTGACTTCTTTTTCTAAACATTATGGCATGTCTTCCGAACACATAGTTTCACTTAGCTTTAGCTATATTAACCTTTTATCAGAGATATACAAGAGATATTGCTTGTTACTGTGTAGTTTGCCACTTTTTCAAATGGAGTTCTTCTTTCAATTCTTCCTGTGTATTTTTTTTAATTGGTCCTTTAGGTTTATGTAAGACTCAGTCATAACACAGTAGCTGTGGAGTGGTCTGTGTGTACAACCTTGTGTATAGTATATGCAGCATGTAGCCCCAGACTCCATGTAATTATGCTCCTGTAAGCCGCGGCCAATATTCAGTGCAATTTAGTCACACCGATTTTTACCATGGCATCTGTACATAACTCCATGGCATTACATAACTCCATGTAATGTTTCAGAGCTTAGTCATCCCAGCTAGGTAAAGCAGCTGAAGAATATTGAACTTAGGAGAAATGGGGGAGCAGATGGAATGCCAGTGATTGGATGTCAAGGGGGAGCATGGATGGCATATCCCTGGAGATTTGAACTTTTCAAAGTAAGTGTGTCATACACTTGATTATTATGGCAAAAGCTTGTGGGGGGAATCATACAAGTTGAATTCCATTTTAAAGACGCAAATGGTAAAGTTGTGATCGCAGATTCTCCAAAAGATAAATTAATACATTTTCTATTCTATTACAAAAAAGACTGGGGACCTTCGTTCACTACCTCTATCTACTCTCATCCACACATTTTGCATAATTTTCAAAGACAACTTTTTTCTTTTATTTGGGGTAGCCATAGACACTGCATATGACAGCAGATACTATTTTAATCTAGGCATAGGTGTGGCTTGTCAGTCCCTCATTTAGTGAATTATTATACTGTGGCACAATTTGCCCTAATGCCCTAACTTGACCTCCACGTTTGGTCTCATTAGAAGCAGTAGTACTTTAACCTATTACAGATTAGACACTTTTGTGGATCCATCTTTATATCCACAAACAAAACATTTATCAATGTATTCATCATTCTTTACAAACCTGGGACAGTGTTAAATACTCATACAAATTGATGTGTCTATATTTTATAGCAACCCTGAATTGAAACCCCATGTTTATGCCAGGTTTTACCAAATGAATTTGTTTCTGATGGTGGACCTCCAAGGGCCTATACAGAGTGTTAAAATTGGTATTGTTCCTCACAGAGCTCCTATGAAGCTCCACCCTTGGAGATCTGCCAGTATATACACATTAAATATGTTGTTACCTCTACCAAAGTAAGATTATCCTCTTTTTAGACCATCGTACCATTTGAACAGATATGTCCTAAAGACCCAACTGCAAGATGTATTATACTGACTGTCTGCAGTTCCAATGTGTGATTTATAGTCCTGCAATATCTGACAAAATGTACTTGTTATGTTTTAGGGGTGGCAGACTCCAGGTTTACCCTTAAACCCAGGGATTGTATGAATACACAATTCTATTTCCTTACATTTCTTTTCAGAGTGGTCAACCAGGTCTTTACTAAAGTTTGGTGAACCTCCACCCCCCCTGGTGGCACAGATGAAGGATAAGATGGCAATCTTATCTCTCATATGAAAAGATGGTGGGACTATGTCCCACTCAAGCTACAGTATCTCAGTTTTTTTCCCTGATTGCAGGTACCTTGTGCACTGGCTACAGGATGGGTTTTCCTAGCCCCTAGGTCATTATTTTTTCATGCTTTGGTTCCCGTAAATGCATCCTTTTCCTATAGAATGATGGTTCCTGTTCTTTATGTTTAAAAACACTTTAATAAAATCTTATGAAAACAGAAAAGTAATCAATTTGAAATGCACACACAAAAATATTCATTTTCTCTAGCTTTTGTCAATTTTCATTTGCGTATATTCCTCGTGGCACTAGGTTTTGTCACTTTGTTAGTAGCTCTAGTACCATGCTTGTCTTGCAGTGAGTGCAGGTCACCTAAATGCTGGACTGATTTCGTAGTAGCTGTCTACTTTGCAAAATGAGTTTTCTCTTAGTTTAGTGAAGCTGTTTTTACTTTAAATACCCAATCATTTGAGGGTAAAATTAAAAAACAGTAATTTTGCTTGCTAATTAAAGGATGATTGAGGGGAACACAGATTTACCTTTTTTGCTAAGCAAAATTAATATTTCACCTTGCTAAGTGTACAGTCCATATTTCTTTAGTAAATCAGGCCCATAGTCATAAACTCATAGCCTCTTTATTGCTCTTTATATATATCAACCGTCATTCAGGGTAAAAAGAACTTCTAAACTTAACTCAGGTTCTTTGGGCAGACTTCACAAAACATTTATGCAGTCACTTGTGTTAATGTGGTATACCTGAGCTGAGCTTATACAAAACATAACAAAATGATTTTCTATATCACATTCCAGCTACTATTGCTGTAGCTTAGAAAATGAAAATTCACACCTAATTTGCTGTCAGCTTTCACTTGCTCACCTTCATGGAAATAACGTGGAATTTGGAAATGCCTTCTGGCACATTTAATTTTCCTGAAGTTTTTATATACAATGCTAGCTAGGCTTGTGCTTTATTAGCAGTTAACACTTCAATGTGAAAAACACTGATTTTGGAGAACAAAAAAAAGAAACAGAAGAAAAATAAAAACACAGGCACATTGTTCTGAATAAAGTAAACTGAGTTCTATAGAGATTTTTAATGCTGTATCAAAATATTTACAGTTAGTGCATTAAGTAGGTTGATTTCCATTCCAAAAGAAGCAATAGCCCTCATACAATATACAATGCCCATTAGTAGGAATATACACTATAATGAGAAAGGAAAATCCCAGGTCTACCTATATACCTGAGAACATTGGTGATATTGGTAGAAACATATTTTAATATTTGCACAATACATGGTTATACATGGTTCTTCTGCATTGAGGTCCTTTCTCATGAGTTGTGCCCAATCTGAGCAGTAGGGAATCCATGAACAGATACTGAATCTGTGCAGAACAGAACAGATGTTTTTTTTTTTTGGAACATCAGCGTCTGTTCAGACTTTTCCTCATCTTGTGATGAAGGAAAAAATAGAGCTTAATAGACCAATGTGGCGTCTTTTGGCAAGTGGATTTAAACTGATGTGCACCCATTTACATCCTTTTACCTAGAATCCATCAACAACATATTATGATTGAACTGGATGGGCTTTTCAGCCAGACTAACTATGTAACTATATTTATGTCCAAATAATGGAAAAGAATACAGACCATTTCTATTTTTTTTAACCTATGTGCAGGGGCGGACTGATAACTAATGGGGCCCCGGACAATAGGGGATCATGGGGCCAATGTGTCCTCACCCACACTTAAACCACACCCAAAAAAGCCTATGAAAGGTATTAGGGGCATCTCATGGGGCCCCCTAATGACCCTGGGCCCTTGGGCAGTGCCCCAGTGCCCAAATGGTCAGTCTGCCCCTGCCTATGTGTACGCAAAAGGCAAAATTGGATGTCAGTGGACACATGTATGTTTATGCATGCCTGCCCATAGACTAACATTGAGCTTCCATTCAGATCCTCCTGAAAAACTGACAGACTGATCTTGCTGGAATGACTTTGTAAAAGGAGCCTTAAAATAGACATAAGTTATGACCTGAACAGAACATTTTGTGAGCTTAGATTGGGGGATGGAATATAATGTTAGGCATTCATTACCCCATACTGTGTGGAGAATGGTGTTTGTTGTATACATTGATATTTATGAGTCTTGTTGGCTGTGTTGCAAAGAATGTTTAAAAGAAATGCCAACTTACCCAAAAATAATAAGGGGTTCAGTCATCCTAAACAGAACAATATATCCCCTATTGGCACCCAGTGTTGTTTTCATATCTTCTAGTGTGAATAGAGCAAACTGCTACTATTTAGTCTAAATTCAAGCATGCCAGAAAGAGCTTGTTGTGGTGGTGCCATCATCTAAACTGCACTCAGCAGATGTAAACAAGAGATCCGTGCTATATAACTTCCAATATAGAATGGTAATTTTAAGAACAACAATTAACTATGTTTTTTTATATATATATATATATATATATATATATATATATATATATATATATATATATATATATATATATATAGATATATACACACACACACATTATAGCATTAAGTAGCATACAAGTGTTTCATATGATAGAATTTTTAATATTATAAATGTTTAACAATACTATCTAAACATATGTATATATAAAACACAGAGCCCTTTGTTTTGTCTCTCTTGATTTTACATAATGTATAAGGGTTCAACATGACAAAATGTAAAAAATCTAAATATAGTCACCCTTTTGCTGTGCAATTCTCTTGGTAATGAAGTTAATGTGCAATACTAAGAGGCTGCCACTCGGTGTCCCTAATACAGAACGCATTTTACTTAACAACATTTTAGAAATACAATTAAAATAAGTTAAAACCTAAATATTTTTTTCAAAGTAAATCGCAGTTTTGGCTTTGGAGATAATTTTAGATATACCTGTTTTTTATGTAAAGAAATTTGAACAGCATCATTGTAATTGAAAAATGGTCAGTTGTTCAGTTATATTGTTTACTCTCAATAAGTCATATATTTATTTTAAACATTACAACTTTTTTTTTGTGCCTCTGATAGAAGTAACCCACAGAGTTTTCCCTGCAGACTATGCCATCATGATGGAGCAGTACTTGTACTGACAGGTTTGGGGGTTGTTTTTGAAGTTAGAGTTCACAGGCAATATGGTTAATAGAGATCTGTAAAATTATTATTTTTTCCGCAGGACCATATAGAGAATTCCAAGTATGAAGCTAAGGCAAAAACAGATCCACGTCAAAATGAAGCAATATGCATGGTAAAAACCTAGAGAAGCATTTGCAAATCGGGCAGTATAGATTGAAATTCCAATAAGGATACAGAGCCCTGTGAATGAGAAAGAATTGGACATCAATTATTTGAAACAATTTATTTTTTGTTTTGGTTGAATCATCATAAAGTTTCTTGCATTCTTTGGGATTTCCTGAGTCAAAATCTCTGTACTGGAATTCATAGCTCTGCCAGATCACCAAAATGGTGTTTCTAAGACAGCAGTAAGATTACATTCTGATGCAGGAAGGATCCATTTTTAAAGGTGAAAATCCACTGCCAATAGTTAAAGATGTATTAAACCCTAAAACCAAGAAATGTATATATTGCAGCTTAGCAATGCTCAAAGTGATATTAAAGTGATTCTAAAGGCTTTTTTTTTTTAAATAACAAACATATCTATAATTACCTGCTGTGTGAAGTGGTTTTGCAGAGAGCAGCCTGGATCTTCCCCTTCTCGGGTCCCCAGCAGGTTCTCCTGGCCCCTCCCTCCTGTTGGGTCCCCCCACAGCAAACAGCTTGCCATGGGAGCACCCGCTGCTCCATGTGTTCAATCACACACGGAGCCGTGGCTCAGCCCTACCCCCCTCTCTCTTCTCATTGGCTCACTGGCTGTGATTGACAGCAGTGGGAGTCAATGGCTCTTGCTTCTGTCTCAGCCAATGAGAAGAGGGAGTGCCGGGTAGCCAAGACTCCAGTGCATATCGCTGGATTGAGAGGGGGCTTAGGTGAGTATTAGGGGGGGCTGGGGGGATGCTGCACAGAGAGGGTTTTTTTTTACCTTCATGCTTAGAATGCATGAAGGCAAAAAACCTTCAGCCTTTACAGCCACTTTAAAGGTTTCCATAATTTTTTTGTAAATAACAAACGTTATACTTACCTGCTCTGTGCAATGGTTTTGAGCAGAGCAGCCCCAATCCTCCTCTTTTCGGGTTCCCCGCTGGCTCTCCTGGTCCCTCCCCCATGTTGAGTGCCCCCAGCACTGCTTGCTCTGGGGGCATTTGTGCGTGCTTATTCCCGAGCCACCTCATGCTCCCTCCATACTGGCTAAGATTGACAGCAGTGGGAGCCAATGGCTCCTGCTGCTATGTCTCATCCACTGAGGATAGAGAGACCCGGGACAGCCTTTGCTCTTGTGGACAGCTCTGGTTGGCGATCGGGCTGAGTAAGTATTAGGGGGAGCTGAGGGGGGAGATGCACACGGAAGGTTTTATAGAATAAAAACACCTTCAGCCTTTAGAACTGCTTTATATCTAATGGCTGTATTAGGTTTTTTTTAAACCTGTTTTTATTTTATTTTCATAGGGTAATCTGGACAGCAACACACTTCAAGTCTTAGGGCTAGTTCACACTAGATGCAGTCCAGTGTGTTTTTTTTTTCTGCATCAAAAATTCTGTTTTCCATATGGCCCTATTTCACACCAGTGCAGTCACTTTCAGTCAGTTTCCGGTGCAGAAAAAAAAGTAGAACATGCTGCATTTTTTTGTGCACAGAACTGTACTGGAACATAGCAAACAGCATCAAAACTGCACTGGAACGGAGTGTGGTGTGAACTGGAAATCAAAACATATCCAGAACGCATCTGGAGTGCATTTTTGTGGTGTGAACTGGCCCTTAGAATGCCTTCACTCTGGTTGGAGGAGTAATGGAGACACCTTTGGACAGCAACACTGTCAATCTGTGTAGAGGTGAGTGTTAGATTAGCAGATTAGGTGGACTTGACTAACAAATTAAAGTGTAACTCCAGCAACCACTTTTTAAGCAGTTGCAGTAGTTTTTTTTTTCCCTATTGAGATAAAGGTTTTACATAAATGAATAATATTGACCATTGTAAGCACCCTTGTCTCAGCGTTAAATGGCTCTCAGCCTTCTAAATACCATTTTTGCTGGACCTCTTGGTTTGTTAAAAAAAAGTTGAAAAATAACTGACTAAAGGTGGCCATACACTAGCAGAATTTAGTTTGAAATGTTTAATTTTTAAGAATGTTCATTTGATTTTCTAATTGTTAGTGGGGTCAAACCAGCATTTGTTTTGGACTGCAGTGACCTGAAAATTTAAAGGAGTAGGATTAAATTTTCTTCTCATATGCATGAATTTTTAACAATGAATATGGTTTTTGTTCAGGAAATGTCATTCACTCCAAAATCAAATATTAAAAGCAAGCTAAATTTGTTTATGTACTTTGGAATGGCATTCATCATATTGTCAAATGTACTAATGAGAATACTCATACAAAAATCTAGGCAGGATCACCAGGAGAAAATAAAGAAAAAGCTTAAAAAAAGAAAATCAATGCAGCCACTATGTTTAGGAATTAGTTATATGCAATAAAATACATTAATGTAATTGGGTTTAATACTGCTTTAACAGGCAACTCCAGGTGACAAGTGAAATCAGTCAGTAAACTAGCAGTGATTTCCAGAAATTGCAACAGTGCTAAATCCTGAAAGTCTACAAAACAAAACCATAGCAAAGCTGCTGTGTGGGCTATAGCGGACTAAGGGAGATGAAAAAGTCCTAAAACATATGTCTACCCTTTTACAAGCTTGGATTGAAGGTCATTTAAAAACCACAGGCAAATACAGGGATACCGCTGGGTAAAACTAGTGCGATTCAATAGGTCAGCTGTGTACTCTCAATTTTAATGTAAAGTTCTCAAGTTTTATCAGAAAGTATAAGAATTTATAGTTATTGTTATTGTGATCATGCACAGCATTGCAGTTTACAAGTAATAGTGATACTTACAGCAGAAAAGCATGAGGGCTCCTGTGATGTAGAAGCGACATCCTTTACCCAGAGTAAAGAGCTGTGCAATGAATGAGATCAGTGCAAAACAGCAGAATATAATGGACAGGATCATGAAAGCTTCAACCGTTTTCATAGAAGCATCTAAAAAATAAAAATATCTTAGAGATGAACTGAAAAATTGAATAGTTAATGATACATTCTAAGGACCAACACTATTTTATGTAAATATTCTCCACATGTTAAACACCCAGTATGGTTAAAGAGAAATAAAGAAACTGTGAGAAATATGCAGTAGTTAAAATTATACCAGGTATTCTATGAAGCAGAAACTTAAAGAGATAGCAAATGCTGCTTCTTCACTTGTACCTACAGGTGTACCTACAGATAATATTCACAGTTGCAGCAGCCGGGGACATCACTGATGCATGTGCAGTGTACTCTGAGTGTGCTATCAACTTAGAGCACTGTGCTGCAATCATGATTCCCATGTACATGCATGGGAGTGACATCATTGCTGCCGTCCATTCAAATGACCAGATAGCTCAAACCCGGAAGGAAGACCGGGTGAAGATGGAAGTACCAACAGTGATGGCAGCACTCTGCTGGAGGGCTTCATTTGAAATATACATCTGTCATACTGTGCAGGTATGCAGTTCATACTAGAATTTTATGACATTATGCTGCAGGGGAATAATTTTTTCTTCCAGAATTTACTACCACTTTAATTGATTGCAAGGACTTTATCTTTGTACTTGTTCTAAGTCAGCATTGAGGCCGAAGCATGAACCTGACCTCCAGAGAACTAGCATTCATAAAAAAAGAGGTATTAATGCATCCTCCATTATTCTCTCATGACAGGTTCTCTGTAAGATCATCTCTAAAGTAAGCCCTTGACTTAGCGTTCCTGCCAATATCTAAACCCATACTTTCATGCTTTAAAATTACACTACCCTTGGGTATCCCTACAAAATCGATCAAACTGATTCTTTACATTATCATGGCTGCAAGAATTACAGTTGCCAAATATTGGAAGCGATCGGTGATACCACTTGATTATGTCAAAAATAACCTTAATTGGATCATGATTAATGACAAACTCTCCTGTATTCTTAATAATAATGAGTCAAAATTTGACAATACATGGGATCCGTGGATTCGATACCTCTCCATCCCTTAATGGGACTATGGCTGATCCTTGTTTACTTTACCCTTCCTTCTCTGCTCTTATTCTCACTTTCTTTTTCATAATTTTTTTTTTTAACATCTTTATTTTCCAACATGCCATTTTTCTGTATTACATACTGGTGCCTGACTATAGGCTGATAATGCTTGTTAATTGTTTAATTGTTTTTCATAGTGCACTATATACCAGATTTCTGTTTATTGTTGTGATTTATTCTCCTTGTCTGCAGACTGCACCGGAGGGACTGTTTGGTTCTTTACCTATTTGCTAAGTCCGATGTTTTTTTATCTCTCTATTTAATCTCTGTGTCATTTATTTTCACAATTGATTATTGTTTGTTTCTTTTAATAAAAACATTGAAATATAAAATGACACTAAACAATATCCTTATTCTTCAAAAATAATCCATATACCTCCACTGCTTAATAGCCTTGTAAACTATTTTTCATGAAATTGTTCCTTACCGTGTTTTTTGTCTTCTTGTGATGTCCTCTATGAGTTCCTGAATCTCTCATTTCCCTATCACTTTTGTTTGTTTGGAATGAGCAGTGCATGTTAGTTTGTGGTCATGTGAACTGCCCTAGGCACCCTACAAATCCCATTGTTCATAGTCCATCTTGGGAGTGAGCAAGAGAAGTTGGCTCCATTATTACATACAGTGGGACCCTGGAGAATGAACTTAGTCACCCTCTAACAAAATGTCAGATCACAACAACAATAAAAAGGAGTCTGTAGATTTGGGGTAGGCTGAGAGCAATAGAATGTAATTTTAGGAATAAATACATGAATAGCTTTTTATTTTTTTTAACCACAGGTTAGTGTCACTTTAACTATTAAATGTTCAGTCCACCCAAATATCCAACAGTGGCATCTGCCTATGTTTATTCACAAATTTGTCCCTGTTCACCTTGGAATTCTGAATACTCCTGCTTGATTGTGCAAATTCCAGCAGCTTCTACTCTATTACCCATTATTTGGAATAAATAAATCCAGGAAGTCCTCAAACGGAACTACCGCTGATGCTTCCCAACACTTTTGGGACTTTTTGTTTTGGGGGGAGAGGGTACCTATTTTTAGCAGGTATCCACTGTAACAAGCGCACACACAGAGATGGACGCGGTTCAACCATTTTGGCTTCAACCTCCATCTTGGCAAAGGGGTTAACCATCCTGACAAACAACATATTTCCCCCTCATTCTCCCCCTCCCTCTCTGAGAGTCACAGCGACATTTGGCCAGTGTGTGTGTGTGTTAGGAGTGTCACAGGAGGCCAGGGCCCAGCAGGGGGCTAGAAGCTATAAAGTCCCCAAGGGAGCTGGGGCCTCGCTGTTCAGAGAATCTGTGCAATGTAACACCTCATATAAGATAAGGCAAGCTTTCCCAGGAGTTCAAAGAACATTCCCAGGAAACACGATCAGATAACCACTTTTCGAAATCCATCTTTCCCCTATGTCTCATATCTTGGAGTATATGAGAGACTTACATAAAAACCAGACATATCGTCAGATTGGCTAATAGGAGACAAACAATTTGATGGGTCACTCTCCTTGTCCCGAATACATAGGAAAGCAGAAAAGTAGATCTTGGGAACCATTCAGTGTATAATTTCATAATTCATATCTAATCAATCCTCAGACGTGTCTGCATAATAATCTACCCGCGGGTGGAGTGTTACTTGTGCATAGGAAAAGTTATGAGCCAAAATATGAACTAAACAAGATTTTGGCTCTAGTTTAGGTCCGCGGCCAGACCTTCACACCCTACACGGGGTATTGGTCCTTGACTTCAGAGACACCCCCTGCTGGGGAACTACAAATTGGGCTGTCAGGCCTAAGAAAAATAAGTTGAAGACGTCTCCCATTTTAACATCAGTACCACCTGGGGAGACCTATGCCCCTTTCGCTCTGAAACTTGGATCTGCTAACCCAGGACTTTGGCAAGTACCTTAACCCTTTCACCTCTCTCTGATATCTCTTTGCTGTGCTGTCGGTCTCTGTATATATCTTAGTTAAATCTTTTTCTGTAAATATTTTTATTGCACCCGTTTGACCTTTTAGTAATAAATCGTTCCTTCTGAAAGTGTTGAACTGTTTCTATAGCTCTTAATTGCAATTTATGAATTCCTGCCTCTAAAAGAGACGCTACTGTGTTTGTTTAACCCTCTGTATAACCTGCCTGTGGTGACCGTTTTATACAGACAATTATCTCAACCATTATAGTGTTATAGCTGATATCGCTGAGTTTCCTCTTTCTCTGTACGAAAAAGGAGGTGGTGGCAGTGTGAAGGGTTAATTGCGTAATTAACCTGACCCAGTAACAAGTGCATTCAGGCTGCCGGTATATCGATTGTGGTCCAATTAGCAGGAAAATCGTTGTGCAGGGTGCAGCTGTTTGTGGCATTGTTACGCACGTGACAGCGCGGTTTTAGATTGGCTAGTCCTTCGGTCACGAGTTTGGTGAGAAGGGCTGGGGTCTGATGCCGCGGTCGTCACATATTGGTCACAGTGATCTCGCGTTCATGACATCCACTTCTACTAGAATTGCCAAGGCAATCCCACCTGCAATCTCCCAGGAGGCTGCAGGACCATTTGCAGGGCGCAGCATGGCTAGCACATGCACAGTGGGGATCCAGCTGTGAAGCTGCAAGGAGTCACAGCTGACTTCCCACAGTTAACAAGGGACACCAAGCACCCAAAGACCAGCAGAGAACCTGCCTGGGCGAGGGACAGCTCTGGATCCCTGGATATGTAAGTGTCTCTTTATTAAAAGTCAGCAGCTGCAGTATTTGTAAGGTCTTTTTACCTTTACTTTCACTTGATAGTCTTGTAAATAACACCTTTCCCTTCCCTTTGTGGATATGTTTTTTTCTCCACTGTGTGTATTAAAAGAGCCATGGATGGACTTCTTATATATAAGTTGTTATTAAAGTAAAAAAAGTAGTCCTAAGGATTGCTGCATCTACTGAATTATGAACAAGGGGGGTACACAAGGAATGTACAGAATAACGTAGCATTTCTCCAGTCTACAGAGATTGTCAGCCCTTCCTAATACTAGCAACATACACTAACAATATGGCTGCCATGAGTCCATCCTTTTACGGAAAGGGTCCTCAAACCTTTTAACAAAAGGTAGATTTACTGTCTATCACACTGTTTATGGGCTAAACTGTAGTCAGTGGGACTACAAAAGGCTGCTGTGTCAGTGGTCAGTGCAAATAGTGCCTCTGTGTCAGTGAGGCCCTTGTGTCATTGGTCAGTAGAAATGGTGCTTCTGTTTCAGGTGTGTCCTTGTGTAAGTGATGCCCCATCATTGGCTGTTCATAGACACTTACCTCTATGTCAAGCTTCATATCCTGCTCTGTTCTTTCTAGTAGATTACTTTACTCTATAGGGCCTGTTATATTACCCAGTGCTGGAACACTCTGAGTTCTAGTGCCTGGCATCTGCTGCCACTCTACACAGCTTCTCAGTGAGCAATGAGCAAGCCCTGCATGGTCTATGACCAGTGGAGTATTTAGGTTTTGTGCTGCCCTAGGCAACACAAAAATCATCAGCGAGAGAGAGAAAGACACTCGCCTTCACAGCTTCAGACATTCCCTGGAATGAGAGTCAGGCTCTGCATACACCATCAAGCAGCCCGCAGCCTCTCTTGGATCCCACCTGGTCCCCATGCTGCGTGTTTTCCTTCTCCTCTGTCCCTTCTTCTTGGGAGCAGTGCTGCCTCCCTGAAAAATGCCGCCGTAGGCAAATGCCTTGTTTGCCTTGCGGTAAATATACCACTGTCTATGACAAAAGGCCAAAGTTTGGGGATTGCTGTTTTATAATAAGAGGGCTAGCACATCCAAAACCCCATTATGACCAGGAGTGTGTTTAGAATATGTGCTGTCCTAGGCAACACAAAAACCTGCTGCCCACCATCCACCCCCAATTAATACGAACGGATTAATTCAATTTCAGTGCAATTACGAATTGTTTTTTAATCATGTCCTCTGTACAGTACTATGCCTTTTTTGAACAGATAAGAATTTTTTTGACTTTTTTTCTGACCTCCAGAACGGATTAATTGGTTTTCAATGCATTTACGAATTAATTTTTATTCATGTTCCTGTACAGTATTTATGCCTTTAAAGTGCATTTTATAAAGAGTTTTGAACAGATAAAATACTTTTTTTTTTTTTTTTTCTGACCTCGGAACGGATTAATTGGTTTTCAATGCATTCCTGTGGGAAACCGCATTTCGGTTTACGAATTTTTTGCAATACGAAAAGTCCCGCATAACTAATTAAATTCATAAACCGAGGTATGCCTGCAAACACCTTTTTGTTTATAAGTGATCACATTCCCTCTAAGCTCCTTATGCAGCTGAGAACAGAGAGCTAGAGGAGGAGGAGAAGCACACTAATTTTCCCAGTGAATGGCTGTGCAGGGGGTGGGGTGGGTCAGCATAAGTCTGATCACTGGAGGAGAACAGGCTGATTTCCTAGTTAGTGTGGTCAGCTTTTAATAAGAAAGCAGAGAGAGTGCACACAAAGGAAGCAATACAAAGAGAAAAGGATACTTTTTCATATAAGTACGTGCTACAGCAAGCAAATGTCAGGAATATGAAATGTTGGGTTTAAATATTCTTTAAGTTCAAAAGTCAGTCTGGTGAATTTCCACATTAGTTCACTGGGACTGTAAATTTTGAACCTCATGGATTGCAGTGCAGACCCCATTGCATTGCAGACTGTGGAAAAGGGGCCATAAAGTTGTGTGGTGGATTAATTACAACACATAGAGGTTATTTACTAAAACTGCTTGGTGCCAAATCTGGTACAACTCTGCATAGAATTGAATCATCTTCCCGGTTTTATGGTCAAAGCTTAATTGAACAAGCTGAAGACAGAAGCTGATTGGCTCCCATGCACAACTGCACCAGATTCTCAGTGCACCAGTTTTAGTAAATCCCCCCCATAATTTTGATTTGTAATATGTAATTTCATAAGTACTATTGTCTTATATCGTTTGTTGAAAAGATTACACAGGAACAGCTAATAAAACAAAAAATACTTACGATCTCCTGCAGGAATGAAATTAAATATAGATTCACAATTTCCTTGGCATCGCATCCAAATGCCCATTGACTCAGTGCCTAGCGTATTCTTCAACCACACCTGTAATAACAAGGCTATCATTAGTGTGTTCACATGTGCCTAACAGACCTTTACATTTTTCAATGCTAGCAAATCATTAGTCCCAAAGTCTAATTACTGAGTACCCTCTTATTTCCAAGGGTGCACTTTTCGTACCATATTTCTGCACGTCTACAGTTCTGTCTTTGCATTACCTGAACTCAGATTCTTCATAATACTTAATAGTCTAGTCAATGCACAAGAACATTAGATATGAAACCAGAACGCGCGGTGTCTAACAGAGCGGGCATCAAATTTTACCTGAACAATAGCTGATAAAAAATGGTTATTAAACTGTATTTTTCCACTTTTCTAAAATTTGTATGAAATTGCCATATATCTAAAGACAAAAATCTTGTTCTTAATTAATGTGGAATTAATATGGTAAGATTGGCTGAGGCGAATGCATTCTCTCTTAAGAAGAGGCGAATAAGGGGGATATAATCATATGCATGTATGTATAAATACATAAGTGGTCCATCCATATAGTGAATTTAGAGGACAAAGGGGCACTATTTACTTCTAGAGGAAATAGATTTAACCTTCTCCACAGTAAGAGCTGTGAAAACTGGGAGAACTGTGGGTATAGGATTGTGTATATATATATATATTTTCTTTTGTATTGGTTGAACTAGTTTTCAACCTGACTAAATATATAAGTAACTATTAACTCCATGGCAGCATAGTTTACTGAGTGGGTTAGGTATGGACTGTATATTGCCATATTTACTCATTACATAAGCATCCTCGGGTTCTTACTTTATAATACTATACAATGGTTTTGCTTAACCACTTCTTCTAATACTGCAGTCAGAAGGTGTAGCAATCTTCTGAAAACAATGAATTCCTTGTATAGTTAACAGAGGCTGTTGCACACGGAGGCAGTTGTGAATACAGTGAAATACAGAACACCCTCTAGAATTTTTAATGCTGTGTATAACCCCATTTGGAGAGCAGGACAGGAAATTAGGGGAATGGGGGTCTACAATCCTTTTTTGCTAGGAATGTACTTAAAAGCAATTCAAAATCTCACAGTGAAACAGCACAAAAATTACCTATGTTCAGTTTCAGAAACAAATGTGCGTTAGAGGTGACCTAATTAATATGTTCAAATAGAAACTTAAAGCAGAACTCTGGACAAAAACCTCTTTGCATGTCCTTGTTGCTGATTTCCTACCTTCACTGAATATGTTATCCATATTCTGGTTCATTCTGTAGTTGCTCTGAAATAGCTTATTAATTTTTAAATCAAACTGGTTTTTTTGGTTTCCTGTTTATAAGACCAGTGGCTGCTATGCCTCCTATTTCCCCAGCCATTGGTATTGGCACATCTCTTCTGCAGTTCTATCTCCAGTGCAGTGGTTGGAGGACCGATACTCTCAGACACATTCAACATATACAGGCCTAGTGTAGTTGCCCACATTCACTGCAATTCCCTGTGGTTGATGGAAACTGTAGTTTCCTTTTACAGCAGAGAGAGTGGACAGCATATGACGTAATCTCTGCTTTTACACCTGCTGCTTGGCAGAGCAGATGTTGTTATCTTTTGAATTACAGAGATGAGGTCACAAAAATGCAATTAAACTTTTCTCTTCTATGGTAAGGATTTTCAAAATTGTATTAACTATTTAGTGTTCTGTGTCATATGAATTAAGGGTTACTAAATTTCTTTATGTTATTAATTTCCTAGAATTAATTTTTTCACTGTAAGTTAAAGTGTATGTAAATCCAAACAATGACATTTTTATATTTGATCCCTTATGGTTTATTATATATACTGTACCATTTAAAGTATTCTGTTATATCTCTTCAAAAAGTAAAAAAAAATTGCTTGTAGATTGTCCAGGAAACCTTATTAGCTGATAACTTCCAGTGCTGTCTGCCTCTGCAGCACATTGTGCACTCCTTAGTCGTGCAGTCTGTGCATTACACACTCCTGTGCACTCTGTGCATTACACTCCTGACTCCTGCACTCTGTGTTACACACTCCTGACCTGCACTCTGTGCATTATGCACTCCTGACTCCTGCACTCTGTGCGTTACACACTCCTGATCTCTGTACTCTATGTGCTGTGTACTCTTTAGCCACGTAGTCTGTGCATTAAGCACTCCTGTCCCCTGCACTGTCCCTGTGCATTGTGCACTCCTGACTTCCTACACTCTCTGCAATATCAACCTTTGACCTCTGTATTCTTTACATTATGCACTCCTGACCCTGGCACTTTGTGTAATTTGTGATGTAGGGAGTTTGTTCTGGGACAAGAGATTAGGGAGGAGAGGTTTTTTTTTTGCTGGGAGGGGGATTTGAGGGGAAAGGAGATTTCTGCTTGGAGAAGTGATTGGGAGAAGGGATTTGAGTTGGGAGGGGAATGGGGGAAATTTTTACTGGGAGGAGGGTAGAATTTTTACATTTTTGAGGGAGGGTTTTGCTAGGGGGATAACCTCTGGAATCATGGATGGATAAGAATCTGGGGATCCTAGCAGTTCACAGACTCAGCAATAGCATGCAATGCCAAGCTGCAGCAAACAAGGCCAGTAAAATATTAACATGCATTAAAAAGGGATCTACTCAAGATATAAAACTATAATTCTACCACTTTACAAAACTCTGGTTAGTTCACAGTATGTGGCCACTTTTGGTCACCAATTCTCAGGGAGAATGTGCTTGAAGGGGAACATCCAGAGGCACTCAGGCAGAGTTGCTGTATGTAGATTGAGACTAGCTGCAATAGGAATCAGGTGGCATGGGACAGGCTGTCCCTGTGGCTGTGGTGTTTTTTTTCTATGCTGCAATATCTTCTATTCTATGGCTTCCTGGAAGGGAGATTCAATGGAATGTTTAAAGGATGAATTGTTGGGGACAGGCCAGGTGGTACCATTCTGGACTTTTGGGAAAAGGGCTCTACATTATGCAATTAACCACTTGCCAACCATGCTATAGCTGAATGACAGCTACAGTGCAGTTGTCCAGTACTGGGAGGACGTCATATGATGTCCTCCCAGAACGCACCCTCCTGCGCTTCCCTAGGGATGCACACCCGGTGTTCTCCATGATCGCTGTGTCCTACGGACACAGCTGATCACGTGATGTGGTAAAAGGCCAACCACTTGATAACCTGTGTCCAATGACACAGCAGATCACCAGGTAAATACAGTTGCTGGTTATCGGCTGCACTTTCCTCACGCTGTCACAACGTGAGAAAAGTACTTCAGAGAACCGGAATTTGTCAGCGAACAGATCAGCACTAATCATCAGGGCACTGATGATCAGTACCCTGATGATCAGTGCCCAGCAGTGCCGCCCAGCAGTGCTGCCCAACTGTGCTCATCAGTGCCACCCACATGTGTCCTTCAGTGCCCTGCAGTGCCACCCACCTGTGCCCATCAGTGCTACCCCACCTGTGCCCAGCAGTGCCACTCACCTGTGCCCAGCAGTGCCCCCCCATCATTTTCACTCATCAGTGCTGCCCTTCAGTGCCCAGTGGTGCCGTTAGTCAGTGCCCATCAGTGTCGTCAGTCAGTGCCACCCACCAGTGCTGCCCCTTAGTGCCACCTATCAGTGCTGCCTATCAGTGCCGTCTCATCAGTGCCGCCTATCTGTGCCACCTCATCAGTGCCCATCAGTGCTGCCTATCAGTGCCCATCAGTGCAGCCTCATCAATGCACATCAGTGAAGGAGAAAAATTACCTGTTTGCCAAATTTTATAATAGAAACAGAGAAATACTTTTCTTTTTCAAATTTGTTTTTGTTTACAGCACAACAAATAAAACACCCACTGGCTAGTAAATACCACCAAAAGAAATCTGTGTGAAAAAATTATAAAAATGTCATATGGGTACAGTGTTGCATGACCATGCAATTGTCATTCAAAGTGCGACAGCGCTGAAAGCTGAAAACTGGCCTGGGCAGGAGGGGGATATAAGTGCCCAGTAGGTAAGTGGTTATGCTGCATGTTTGGAGGTGATGTTTGGGGAGGAGGTTCATTTGTCATCATGATTTTTACACATCACAGAAGTTGTAACATATATGGATTATATATGGACTCACAATAAAATATTTATGAAATGTATTTGGTGCACAACCTAAATATGCTATTGTTAGGAGTTGCACATTATATATTTGTGATTTTGAGATGCTGAGATGCTGTTTTTGATCTTCCTACTCTGCAAGACCTGTGAGTGCCTGGTAAAAATCTTCCAAGGAGCCAAACAAATTTAAATGTAGGATTTTCCCTCACTTTGAGTCCCAGTGAAAACAATCACCAGGACAAAAATAAGGAGGAATCTCCCTAGCAAAGACACAAAGACACAAGCAGCAATAAAAACTCCCTCACAACTCTATCCAGAACTGTAAGAAGGTTTTGCCATTAGGTACACTATAAATATTTACTATGCACCTGCATATAACACTGCATTACAAATATTTATCATGTACCTGATTAAATTTAACAAGCCCAATAAACATTTAAGATGGGTAATTACTGTATATAGGCACATATATTTGTATATGTGATTCATTTAATTTCAGTTTTTTACTAAATATTTCTTGTTGAAAATAGAATGATATACAATGCAATACATTTCCATCCTTTTGAGGAACAAATACTTTTTTCTATTACAAAAGTTGGACATTATGCAAACTTATTGGAGCTTTATACTTACTTGGCTAAATAAAAACATGGATAAAAATTTTTTGATTATCTCACTTCATACTTACATTGGAAATGGTGGCAACAAAGAGCATTACAGTAGTGGCAATATGGACCACAAACACAGCTGCTAGCACAACCAACATGTTGGTGGATTCTTAGGAGTAGCGTTAAAGATCCTAGAAAGAATAACATTGATAGGGGTCATTTCACATACTATTCAGTAAATCTGTGTCACTTATAAACTGAATGTACATATGTCTCATATATATTTACTGTATATACTATGTTTTTATATAAAGTATTATTTTAATCTGATTGGAAAATGTGAATCACACACTCCATGCACACCCTTGGGTTTGTATGAGCAGACTAGCACAACCCAAATGCTACATGTGATGTTCACTGCAGTGTTTCAATGTCATATTTGAATTATACCATTTCCACTATGATGGATTAATAACCATGACACCAAGTAAATCATGGTGCTTACTGGCTAATAGGTACCTGGAAGGATCCTTGTAATCTACAGGGCAGAAGGAACTCGATCACTTCTCCCAGCACTGCTCCAGGCTGCCAGTCACAGTATATTATGTACAAGTGCTGAAGTTGTTCACACAGGCTTCAGATTGTATATAAGCAGTGTGAACTGAAAGCTTTCTACAAAGCATTAGCAGAGCTTTTAGCAAGCTTCCGTGAAGCATTTAAAACATCCTTCTGCTCCAGTTTATAAATCCTAAACACAGATCCTCATGGCAATGCTCATTGTCACTTTAAACAAGCTACTAGAAGACTTTAGCACTGCTTGAAGTTTGTTGAAAGCCTGCTGCAGCCTGCTAGATGCTTGTTAAACATGACAGTCAGTATTCCAATTTAAGGATAAGTTCATCTTTTTAAAAAAAAAAATAAATGTAAATCTTATTGCAGGTAAAAAAAATGTGCATTTATTATTTCTTTTTATTGGGAACCTGTAAAGCATTGCACCTATGATCAGCAGATTGTGGATGCAATGCAAGGCTCCTGCAGACTGTTGGTGTATCTGACTGTTTGTATCTCATACGGGCAGGCAGTTATGCAATGACCAGAAGAATCAATGAATTACCTAAAGCCCTAACCAGCGCCCTGGTAGTTCATTGAGAACTACAAGCCGTCAGCCACAATGGCTGACGGTAATTGTAGTTCTCCCATTCACAGAACACTGTGAATAAGCAATGCAGCTGGATGGGCGACAGTAGATGCATCCCCGGCCCGCCATTACAACAGAGGATTGGGAGGCTCATTTAGTGACATGTTACATGTTACACCCTAAATATGGGTGTAACATGTAACATGTTACTAAAGGTGAACTTATCCTTTAAGATCTGGGTATAACATTTTCAACCAGGAGCTGAAGGGCACTTTAAGGTCTCATTTAAACCCACTTTACTGTCTTAAAGTGGAGCTTCACTAAATCTGAGCACCACAAAAAAAAAAGACGCTGTTGTATTATTTTTAATATTCAAAGCAAACTCACCTATCCACCCATGTCTCCATGCTTTATTTTGTTAAAAGATCACATTGAAAAACTCTTATTAGCATTTATGGTCATGGCCAACTTGAGTAAGGGCAGATGATTCATGTAGCATTTACTTCCTGGAATCCATCTACCCTCATCTTAGGCATGCAGGTAGGAGAGTGTGCTTAGCTAAGAAAACCCCTCCTCCCCTCCTAAAGACCCCTGGGATGCATGACATTATTTGCCTAGGCATGGAAACCAGAAAGTAACTGAAGTAATGTACAAAAATTGCTTAAAGCAAGGCAATATAATACACTTTCCTGTCTATTTACCAATGCTACCTTGGAGAGAGTGATGTTCTGCTTTAAGCACAACCACTGCCTCAACAGTAACATGAGGAGTGGTTGACGAGTGAGTGGTAAAAATGTGGTTCAGACACAGGGTTTTACCGCTCCTCAATTGCAAGTGTACACAAGGCCTAAATACTTAAAGAATGTTGCCCAAAGCTTTGTAAAAACTTTCTGAAAGTTTCATAAAAGCTTGCTGGTTACACTGCTCCTATACAAGTTGAAGCCTGTGTGATACAGACCTTAATGGGTGAAGCTACCACTACAAATGTTTGCTTGGTTAGTGGGATACAAGAAGGGTCATAACTAACGTGGTGCCACATATGTCAATGTGGAAGCACAGTTGCCTCATAAATGGTATATTTAAAACTCTATACATTATATTAAAAAAATAAACATTTTGAAACTACTGTTCCTAAGCAATAACTCAATATTAGCTTTATTGGTTGCAAAAAAAGATGCAGTGCTTTGCTTGTCTGATACCTCTTTGGCAGAGGCACAATCTCCCCAATGTCATTGGTCTTTGGTAGACATAGCTGGGGAACTAGTCAGTACACTAGGTTTTGGTGCTGTGGATTGAAGTTGTCAGGGAAGAAGGGGCATCAGTTTATGAAACCAATGTTTACCCCTCATTTTTCAGCTAACTACTCTGTCCTCAGTAGCTTACCATGCTGTTTCAGCATCTCAGATATCAGGGCAGCATTGTAAATTCTATGTCTTCCTACCTCTACCACCACTGCAGCAAGCAAGAGCTAAGAGGTGATGTAGTAGTAAAAAAGTTAGTCTGGCTAAAAAAAGACAAAATTCCATCTAGTTCAATCATAAAAAAAAGTTATAATCCTATACCCAGTTGATCCAGAGGAAGGCAAAAAAAAAAACAGCAAAGCATGATCCAATTTGCTCCTGCAGGGGAAAAAATTCCCTCCTGTACTCCAGAAAGGCAAACCAATATTCCCTGGATCAACTTTACCTATTAATGTTAGTATCCAGTTATATTCTGTGTATCTAGGAAAGAATCCAGGCCTTTTTTAAAGCAATAAAACAGAAAAGACAGAGAACGCACAACCGCCCTAGTGTAACTCCATTTATTAAAGATTAAAATACATAAACATGATTGTGCTCACAGGGTACAATGAAATTAAGGCACTCTCAGTGTAGTAGAAGTCTTCTATATCTTCCTAGTATCGTGGGCATCAATGAGATCATCAGCTGGTGGCTGATGGTGTTCTTTTTTAAAGCAATCTACTGAACTGGCCAGAACCAACTCTTGAGGGAATCTATTCCACATTTTCACAGCTCTTACTGTGAAGAAACCTTTCCATATTTGGAGATTAAATCTCTTTTCCTCCAGACGTAAAGAGTGCCCCCTTGTCCTCTGTGAAGACTTAAGGTGTATATAACTGCACACTGAGTTCCCCGAGTTAGAGCTGCAAATGTTTGTACATTTTTTAGTGGCAAGAATTACAACTACCTGTCCTGTAAAACAAAAAATTCTCTATAACACAAAGAAGAGCGAACATAGTAAAGTGTGTCATGGTTGACTGACTAGTCCTGTACCATAGTAACGGTTAAATTCTAAACAGGTAAGTATTATTTTCACCATTTATTTATTTTAGCATATCATAGTGGATTGGGAAGTAACAGCAGTGAAAATGGTGGTGTTAAATGTTTTCTATAGCCCCAATGGAGTTGATTAACTGAAGGTAGAAAGAATGTGCATTTTGCAAGGGCAGTTGCACTCTGCAAAGCATTTGCTCCAGAGCTCAGCAAATGAGGCAAACCTTCACACTACAAAGAATACCCAATTACATGCAAAGAAAAAAAAAAGAAAACAGCTTTTTTGCTTGCACATGATTAGATAATGGAAGTCAACAGAGCTTCCCCTCATTTACTAAGCTCCGGAGCAACTGCACTTGCAAAGTTCAGTCTATCTTCCTTTAGTAAATCCACCCAATGTGTTGTTTTAGAAGAGGTATACACATGAGTGTACACATAAACCAATTAAATTTTTTTCTGAACATTACAAAGGGTTGGAGGAGGTTTTTGAAAAACATGAGAATAAGAAAACAAGAAATGATAACTGGGAAGGAATATGAATAGGGTGAAAATCAAGTGGTTAGATATAAACTATAAATAAACTACTAAATGCTAGGAAGCATTATTAGACACTATTAAACATTGTAAATGTTACATATTAGTGGAATGCTAGCCCAGATCTAGTTTTACCTGAACTTGCAACCTCAAGGAGTGTCCTTATGGGTGAGGTGGTATCACTTCATCATTGGTATGTGTGAATTGCAGGCACACCCCCTATCCAGAAAGTGTTTAGGTGACACATTGGGGCTAATTTAATAAAGAATGAAGGATTGTTCACTTAGCAAAGTCAATGCTCACTGAGCATAGTGAAGACTCTAATCTTTTTAATATAAACCCCAACATATTAGGTTATCATAAAACAGCCATTCCTTCCTTTGCGTGTATATCTGTAATTTTCTGATTCAGTTGCTTGCCATACTTAATGTACAGGAATAGAACTTGACTTAACAGCACTACAATTACATATTTGACTTATTTTATTCAAGATGATGAAGTAAAGGTTCAAAATATACTGCTGTAGAATATGACAAAAGATGATTATTTCTACTAATACAGAATACAAGTGTTTATCATCAATATTTTCTAAAAAAAAATATTGCAAATATATTTAGCAAAATGTCCTTTCCTACTCATTTTTCTGTCTGTGCAAGAGTTTCTTAAACCATTATACACCAGGTAATAGAACATTTTAGGTCCATCACCCCCCCCCCCCCCTTCCTTAGTCACAAGGAGTTGCCAATATTTATATAAAAAAAAAAAAGAAAAACATTTATTTATATATATTTTATATATGTTTTTAATGTATACACAAATGTTTGTGTGCGCTTCTATAATAAATGTACTGTGTTTTATAGGGTAAAGGTTCACATGTACTTTAAAGGCTAAAGTTCACCTTTTTTGAAAAACAATAGTAAACGTGCATAATATTTCAGAGGGAAAATGCTTTATTATTTTTTCCCCTCAGAAGCCTGCAAAGCATTGATCAGCAGATAAGGGGTGCAATGTCAGGATCCTGCAGAGACACCCTGCAGCTTTCTGCCTTTACCTCCAATACTAGCTGACTGGTTACAAGCTACAGGGCTTGTAAATGAACTACAATAGTGCTCATCATCGCCCTCACAGTTCATTGAGAACGACCTGCTGTCAGATGGGACATGTAGTTCTCTCAATCACAAATTTGCTGTGATGAATGATTATAATTATTATT